CCATCCATCTCTCTTTGTGTTTCCAATGAGAAACTGAGCCGTAATCTTTCTCTTTATTAAGATAACCTATGTCAGGTTTTTGGTTTTTTGTTTTGTTTTAATTTTCTTATGTGCTTTGGTTACAGTCACGCTTTCCACAGGAGAGCATCCTGTCTCATCAATAGCTACTGCCATCCTCATAATCAGTAGCATCATCAGTTAAAAAGGCACTTGAATCCCTTGACAAAATGTCGGGGTAGAATACCTAGACATCTTGAAAATTTTGTGCACAGCAATCAGCTGGAGTTGGATATGGAGGGACACAGAAAGAAATGGCACTGAAATACTTCCAAAGTTCAATATACTAAATTACAAACTAGATTCCCCAATAGTACTCTATATAATTAAGTTTCTTTTCTAAGAATCAGGGAACCTCAGCCTAACAAGCTCTTTAAAAATAGCTATATAAAACACAGACATCAAATATCTTTGGGGCTTAATTATATGTCTGTGTATACTTGTATATAAAGGAAAAAGCACACTTTCTTCAATTAAGATTTCTCACCTTACCCTCTGAGCTCTTTTATGTAAAGAGGATGCAGAAAAACTGTAAGAGTACCAACAATAGTGATAACTTTGCATATTGGTCAACCTATGTGAAGTACGCCTTCATAACCACTGTATAAACAGCACTGTGAGGTAGAGAGAATCGATTTTCTGGTTCCTTTTTATAGATGACAACATTGAGGTTCAGTTAGAGGCCTGATATGTGAAAAGTCACAGCTAGAAAGTGAAAGAATGGGACTCGAAACTGGGTCTCCAGTTCCTCCATATTATGCTGCTTCTATTAGAAATGAGTCCCATCCAGTCTTCAATCTAATCTTGATGTTCAAGGCCAGCCTGCTCCAAGCCTACCTTGCAATTTTTACCTCTGGCTGCCCTTCATAGTCCAGAGGAGGAACTCCAGCTGGGATTTCTCACCTCCCTCCTTTCTTTCTCTCCCAGGTGACTCCATGGCCTACCACAATGGCAGATCTTTCTCCACCTTCGACAAGGACACAGACTCGGCCATCACTAACTGTGCCCTATCCTACAAGGGGGCTTTCTGGTACAAGAACTGTCACCGTGTCAACCTGATGGGGCGATATGGGGACAATAATCACAGTCAGGTGAGTGAACTGTGGAGGCCCAGAGCAGGCAGAGCTTGGGAAGCTGCATGTGGGAGATGGAGGGTACTCAGGCCTCCATCCTGGCTAATACTGGGTGGGGAGAACCTAGGGTAGATGATAACCCCACAACATGAGAAATCTCAGGGAGAGTACTAGCCAGGTAAAATAGAAACAGCCCATGTTAATCCTTGAGGATCCCCAAGGAGAACCATTGTCAAATGGACTCCAAACTTATAAAGCTTTCCTCAGACAAAACTTTCTGCTGAAC